TACTCAAAACTGAAATGCATAAAAAAATTACAAAATGATACGCACTCTTTGCACACTGTCAAAGAATCATTGTACACAAAATCAACTTTGTGCAAAACCAAAACAAAAATACTATCCCATCTGGTGGATGATGGCACAAGCTTCTAAGAAAATTTTATTACAGCGAACCACATTTATTTAATTGATTTCTTCGCCAGTTAGTCGTCTGTCACTTCGTTTGTGGTGCAACGATGGACATACTAGAGGGTAGGTGATTCATACTATTTTCATAGTTAAGTTTGAGAGAAAAAAAATCATAAGCAATACGCCTTTTTAATGCACCACCAACGTAGAGTGCGCCACGTGAGTTCGAGAAGAAACGTCAACCAAACCGTTTGTTTACATCAGAATAACAATTTTTCACAACGCAAATTGAAGCATTTTTCATTCAACATCTTGCCAATTTATATCGGTAATTGTCTTATTGTACGATTTTCCACAGATCTGAACTGATTTGTACACACAAGAAATCCGGAAGATCATAACCACTAAGGCACTTTTCTAATTTTGCATTTTTCGCAACAAAAATATTCCTGTACACCAGCAGGATGTTTGCAAAAACGTTACAGAATTAAATTTTTCAACTGTCGATTAAGTTTTGGAGCATCTCAGATGAACCAATTTATCAGGAAAAGTAAAAAAAATGTTCCGCTTCCTATGTCTCAAGGCAAAAATTTCTGCTCACAACACTCTTTTCGACGTTCTCCTATTCACCACCAGAGGCTGAATCGATCGTTAAGTTCCTATTAAAAAGGCCTATCACCCATTGGCAAATCAAAGTTGGCACTCGTGGAGAATAGAAGAACTATGAAAGTGATGATGGTTTCAAAATTTTCCACGGGGAGGCATACAAATGCAATCTTAAAATGCTTTTATTTTGCAAATTGAGCATTTTATTTAATTCTGGTTGCTGCTACAGTTGTAGAAAAGCTGAAATCTATGTCTACACCTAAAAATCTGAAAAGAAATTATTTTTCTATATTATATGTCTATTAAGTAGTCCTTAAGTTTTCTACTAGCGTAGCATTAACCAGAATTAAATAAAATGCTCCATTTGCAAAATAAAAGCATTTTAAGATTGCATTCGTATACCTCCCCGTGGAAAATTTTGAAAACATCATCACTTTCATAGTTCTTCTATTCTCCACGAGTGCCAACTTTGATTTGCCAATATTCTTGTTTTAGTTCGAACCGTATTTTCCATACAAAAAAAAAGTTTTTTGTATGGAAAATACAGTTCGAACGAAAACAAGAATATGGGTGAATGTCCGGTGTCTCGCTTGCTTGCTTCATACTGATCCATGTTTTTTTTCCATGATTGTAAAGGGCCTTAGAAAGTTTGTTTACAAATGCTTTTGTGCCGTTATCAAATGTTATGCCTGATATGTCTATTGAGTACACTGATAAAATTTCAACGATTGTTTTTATGTGTCCCACACATGAATTTTTGCAATGTGATCAACAAATGATATTTATGTGTCGGACACATACTTAATATGTGCACACATAGAAGCCATGTGTAACCACACATACTATTCATTTGACTTATAAATTTCATTTGTGCTCCTGGGTGGATTATGTTTATGTGTGGTCACATGAAAATCATGTGGAATTTGACATGGAAATTTGTCAATAAAAATGTGTGGAATTTTATTTGTGTAGTCCTTAAGTTTTCGACTAACTTAGCACTAACCACATTAAAATAAAATGCTCCATTTGCAAAATAAAAGCATTTAAAAATTGCACTCGTATACATCATCGTGTAAAATTTTGAAACCATCATCACTCTCATAGTTCTTCTAATCTCCACGAGTGCTAACATTGATTTGCCAATAGAATTTTCCTCTGAATTTTCTTAGAAGCTTGTGCCATCAGCCATGAGATAGGCTTGTATTGACGTAGGACTACGTCTTTGATTTCTATATGGGGGTACACTTTGTGAAAACCGAAAATGGAACATGTAACAAATTAAGAAAGATTTTGAACGTTAATAACTCAGCTGCCCCTGGTCCAATTTCAATAATTTTATCACCAATCGATCAGAAATATGGCTACGTATCGATAACAATGCTTCTGAATGTTGATTTTTAGCAAGAAACTATTGAAAAACTGGTAAATGTCCAGCATTGTCCAAAAGCGTCGAATTAACTAACAAATCCACCAATTACCTACATGCATATGCTGCTTCCCCAGCACAGTCGTCAGAGAGTAGTAAGTAGATGAAACAAGTCGAAGTGGCATTCGCCTCCGATCCTCGGGCGCGTGCGAATAGGGAGGATGGAATTGCGTAATATTTTGCACACGCATCACCATATTCAGAACCAAACGCAAATTCGCGCCAAGCATCATCGCAAAGTTCTTCGAGATACCCACCATCCGTTCTCTGGCTCGCCGTGGCGGTGTCTGACGTATCTCCGATTTGATTTACGAGGTGTGCTGAAGGTGTTCCTGAAAAATGAGATCCGTGATGCTGTCACCTACACTGAACACGCCAAGTGTTAGCGGCCATGGATGTCATCTACGTTTTTGAAGTGACAGAGACGCACTCTGTTTGGTTTCGGAGGTTAAATCATCACCAACTTTGGCAACAAAACGGCTCTTTTCAGGGCCACCAAGCTTATTACAGTAAAGAGTAGGAATAGAATTCATCTGCCTGTTTGTCCATATTCAGAACCAACGACCACACAAAATGCTCGTGTAATAAAACTGGAAGCAGGGATACACATTATTTTGATCAACTTTGAATCGCCACGGCTGGATATTTTCGACGGAAGAAGCAACAATCTAGCATCTAATTCGACGAAGACGGCAGGAAACATTTGTGAAGCCGAGCTATTTACGAAAGAGAGTATCGATGAAGAGAATCGATCAATGTAGATAGGACCTATTGAAAAGTGACGCGAGATTTGTTTTCCATACTGAGCTCCAATGCTACCGACGCCAGGGAGGCAGCTCCCAGAGATGCTATGCCTTAGAACATGCCGGTGGCGCCGACTGAGATTGGACCCAGGCCTGCTGGGGTGAGAGGTAATCACGCTAACCACCGGCGCCGATATCTATCACGGCGAATGAGAACGACCAAAATTTGAGTTTAGTTATCTCAGAAATAAGAAATAAAGTGCAGGAACTCAGCGATGAGTAAATTTGCCTCATGTTTTCCAGGATTTTCCTGGGAAAAATTCCCGAATTTGAGAAAAGTAAAGATTGGATTCACTCAATCTATTGGTACTACTCCGAGACTGAATAAAATTTTCGTCAATTTCCTAATTTTAAGGCAGATTTTTTAGGTTTTCCACAGGAAACCACGAGACAAATTTACTCATCGCTGAGTTCCTACGCTTTTGATAGCAAACTACTCATAATTTGAGGAGTCTATGTAGCTTTTATACCACTTGGTTGCACATCATTCTGCTTTAACCTAAAAAGATACACTGAAACAAGGACCATAGTTAGGAATACTATTTTGCAGAAAACACTTATTATCAATATAACCACGCTTATTGCTATTGAATCTACTATGAATTCAGTATAGTCGACTATGAATGTTAAAAAATTTACTATGATTCTGGCAAAACTACTATGCTTGCTTAGAATGCATAGTAATTTTGATAGAAATAATAGTAAAATTAAATGGAATTGTTTTCTGCAAAAATCTATTGGTGAGGGTATTTAATCTAAACCATCAATATAGTATTTTTGCCAATGGATTTTGTTTCAGTGTATAAAGCAGCGCTGCTGTCTGGTATCAGCTCATTTTCACTTCGGTCGGCGTGGTCAGCAATACCAGCAGTAGGATGCACTTTTCTATAACCCAACAAGCCACAATTGACTGGTCGTGGCAAAGGAGGTGCCAATCGTCATCGCAAATTCTTCGAGATAACCACCATCCGTCGTCTGGTGCGCCGTGGCGGTGTCTGACGTATCTCCGGTCTGATCTACGAGGTGTGCTGAAGGTGTCCCTGGAAAATGAGGTCCGTGATGCTGTCACCTACACTAAACACGCCAAGCGTAAGTGGCCATGGATGTCCTCTTCAATAAAACGGCCCTTTTCAGGACCATCAAGCTTACATCAGTAAAGAGTTGGAATAGAATTTAGCTGTGCTTGTTTGTCCATATTCAGAACCACAAGCCTCCAACGACCAAGCAAACTTGGAAGCAGGGGTGCAAGTGATTTTGATTGATTCTCGTAATCAACTTTCTATTTGAAAAAGATAACTACAAATTTGGTACGCCTACAATTCAAAAACGGAAAGAGTAGAGATAATAGATAATTGATCAATTAAATGAACTTAATGCTCTTCACATTTATTCCGTCCACTAGCGGTCCTACGTCAAGCTTCCGTTCGTGCCCCTAGGCACATACCCTTCTACTTTTTTTATTTTGATTTCAACAAAGTTGATTTTGTGGGCAAAGAGTGTATCATTTTGTCATTTTTTGTGGCATTTCAGTTTTGAGTAGAGTGAAAGATATAGAACCAAAACTTTATTGTACATTTGGTGAAAATGCTAGTACAATCAGTGGTGTTGGCATGTGGTACGCTGAAAAGTAAGTTTTCGAGAAGCTCCATCAGTCACTTTGTTTGTGGCATTACACTTTCCAAACAAGATCAGTGATTATCCATGACGAATCTTGGTAAATGATTTATTTTACCGAAGGTCCGCTATAAAATAAATTCAAAATTTCGGTGAATTATGTATTTTAACCGAAATTTCGGCAAATTTTCAGTTTACTGAACGGCTACGGCAATACATTTCACTGAGGAAAGGTTTTGGTTTAAATTTTGCACTGTTTGCAAAATTGAGTCGAGCTCAACTCAATTTTGAGTTGATCTCATCGTCCATGTCGTTTATGTCTTGACTTGTGGACTCTATGTTGAATGGACATATCGCCCAAAGCGTTTGTTTATGTGCTGTGGATCATGTTACATAATATTTGACGGCTGAACACACGATCCGTGTTGAGGAGAAAAACAACTTTTGATTTAAAATGCTAGCCCGTTCAATAGCTCGAAAAATTTGCCAAAATAAGGAGTTATTCGGCCCATCGGTGCAATGTAGTGGGCTTCTAAACAACACGGTAAAAGATACAAACTTTTTTTTTTTGTTTATACACATCAGTTCTTTTATTCTACAGGTGCTAAATCCGAGTACAGTTCGGCATGCTTCTTTTCGTTCTTCCGAACCAGTTGGTGACATTACACAATTCCCCGAAGTCGAAGTAGCTAAGAACCCTCCGGAATGGAAGTATGTAGAACGACTACTAGCGTCCCGTGTAGTACCAACACCGATTGCGAAACCTGAATATCCTTCAGGCTGGAAACCACCAAAGCCAAGGTCGGATCTCAAGTACTTTGTTTCCCGTACTAAAAATTTTATGCTTCCGGTTTACCTACATCGATCGTTCCGGGGCCAGCGAATCATTACGGCCGTTAGACGCATCGATGGAGACATTTGGCAGTTGGAATCAGAACTACGGTATCTAGTTGAGAAGAAGCTAAACAAATCGATTGTGACGCGCGTTAACGAGATGAACGGCCAAATTGAGCTGAAGGGTGATTTTGTAACGATCGTTGAAGAGTTTCTTCTGGAAAAAGGTTTGTAAATAGTAGGGAAACGTACGTAGAGCAATAAAAAGCAGTTTAAACGGTTAATGATGGTGATCTATGCAAATAGAAGCGCATATCCGTGAGTCCTTTGTCTAGTGTGAAAATTATAGGGGAGAAGGGTAGACTAGAGAAACTAGACCTTCTCTACAGTCCACCGATCCATTCTTTAAAACAACAGGTTTGTAAATAATTGATAAGGTGCCTATATTCTCGGTTTCGTACGAACCGTATGATCCATGTACAGTAGAGTACCAAAATTCTGCACAGTTAAGGCCGAATCCTGCTCAGTTTTAAACTTTGTAAAATAATTATAAATTTTACAGATAGGTATTGTTGTTTGCTGATGGAGTTTTGACCGGTATTATTATCTGGATTCCTTGATACCTGGTTTTTGGTAATAACGATACCGTTTACATACTGGAGATGGTAAACAGGAATACCGACTATGATCCTTATTACGGGAGTCATTTCACGAATAACGTTACCAATCTGTATATAATTTAAATTGAGGTGAATATGAATTTAGATTAAATCGCAATATACTGCATATAGGCACATTACGGTACTCTTTTTTGTACGGAAAATAGGCTGCCCATAAAAGCATAACTGTCCCATATGAATAGGATATCAAGCAAAGATGGGACAATTATGCGAGTATCGGCAGTACGGTTCGAACATAAATGAGAAACGTCTAAATGTATTCATTTTATTGCCACATTCAAAAAGCAATACAAACTCGTCTAAGGACATTACAAAAACGAAAAATTTGCTCATTCATTTCGAACTGATGAACTAAAACTGATGTACTTAATGTATGGAACTAAAATACCTTAAGTTTTAAACACGATTAAACATTCATTTATAAGATCTTCTACTATTAAATAGACGGCTGTGATGCTTAATTCTATACTAAATATCAGGTAGCTGCTGCCGTTGACCGTTTCAGTGCCTTTCTAATCGATGTCCAATCTTCGAGGATGTCTTCTTCGCGCAGCATATATACAATATATGGACCAGAAACGGTAACCGCCTTTTTTCGACCAGGACCACGCACCTTCGAAGTTCGTGTACTAGTTCCCCAATCGGCCCAGGAGATATCCACATTGTGGCGGTCTTCTTCAAGTCGTCGGATTTTCTCCATCAGTTCCTCGTAGATAGCATCCATTGCAAGCTGCTTTTCACTCTGGTGATAATTAAGGAAGGATTTGAGAAAACCATCCACTAGAATGAAGTTTCAACTTACCTCAAAATGTTGCCTAGATGCCTGCAGTTCGGATTCGAACTTGTTTCGGATGTTTTCTATCCGGAAATTCTTCAAGATTTCCGCTACTTCCTTCCGACTGTTCATGTTATCGACCAACCGTTGCAGCGGTGCCAGATATTCCTGCGATCGACCACCCCGGATCTCCAGTAGCTGCTGGTCGACCTGAGACATTTTTTCCTTGTATAATTGCTCCTTTAGAATTATAAATTGCTTTTCCAGATTGGCTGCAGAACAAAAATATGCCGAACAGATCCGTCAACCCTCTGCCAATAATCAACTTCCAGAAATCATAACTTACTTAGATTGTCCACACAGTCCGACCGACGTCTTTCGCACTCGCTTTCACTCATCTCTGAGGAATCATCGGAATCCGGTTCGTCAGCTTCTTCCGCGCTAGAATCATGATCCGGAGCTCGACTGGACGCAGAATGATCTGATTCTCCTCCGGACATGTCTCCATCTGCGTCGCTTTCACCCTCGTTCTTCACTGGAGGCATTTCTTAGTGGATGGCACGTGATACTTCTTTTTTTAAGGAAAAATCACTGCAATTCGGAATATTTTGTCGAAAAATCGCACATCCAAAATAAAATGCAAAATGATGCCACTGTTTCGCTCCCACTGCACGCAATGACAATGACAACACCTCCCTTTTCCCATCAACGAGTGACGTTTTCTGCCTCCCACCCAACATAAAATCAACGTAACCTACCGTAACCACCGTAACTCCTCAGCATTAAATGTTCACAGAAAAATAAAACTACTCAAACTTAGAGTTCTTTTTACGTAAATCTAACCTTTCCACACCTTGCTGCCATGTGGAAAGAGGTTATATCTGCTCATTGGATTTTTTAAGGGTATTGAGGTAAATGCATATTCGTAATCTGCATTAATAATAGAACCCAAATCCAAAATATCATCAATTTTGATACACTGGAACTATTTTAAATAAGTACGATTACATTTGAAAAAATCACCACCTTAAGGGGCCCCTCGGTGGCACTTTGCATTGAAGGTGAGCTGTTAGTTTGTTAGTTAGTGTCAAAAAGTGAAGTTATTATTTTGCTTGAAATATTGATTTAAAAATGGAGATGAAAGCGTATGTTTTCGAAAAAAATATCGCTGTGCGCAGAAAACGAAGTTCTTTCAGATGATGTAGAAGAACCTGTAGATACTATAGAATCCATAGATAAGCGGAGGCACAAAAAGTTGTTTAA